GAGGCCTAAGAATATGCGAATCATGGGGCAGATTTTACAATTTTTTTTTGTTCACAATTTTTTTCTACTTTTTGAACCGAAATTATGAAAATCTATCATATTTTGCATAAAAAGGTACTATTTGATACATTTATTTTCAGCAGGAATTTTTGAGCACGTAATGAATTATTGAAATGGTTTTTACTAGAAAACGGCTCATGCTATTAAAATCTAACAAGAGTACCTTTTTTATGCAAAATATGATAAATTTTCATAATTTCGGTTCAGGAAGTAAAAAAAAATGCGTACCTACAAAAAAAATCGTAAAATTTGGTCCTTGGTCCCGCATTTTCTTACACCCCTGTAGCAAATTTTGATTTGTATATTATGCCGGTTATTAAGCGTATAAATAGTAATACAACCCCAAAATTTAGCGATTTAATATTAAACCGTTTTTGTTTAATTTAGTTATGCAATAAAAACTGTTTCCTTAGTTACCCCTTCAAGGGGATGTATCTCCCTTAGGGGTCGCCACTGACAAAAACTGCTAAGGTTTTCATCATATTTCGACATATTTTACAAACTCTCCAATTTTGAGTACTTATTTCGTTAACACCTTGTATAAACTACTCCCACTATTTTTTCCAAAAGGAACTCACTCTTCCATTTTGTAAAAAAGTACTGTGAAATCTGGTCCGCAGGGTGTTCAAGTTAGACAAAAAAATATGTGTTGTGTCTTGTTTATTTTGCCTCAATTGTGCAATTTTCTTAACTTGTTAATAATTATTTATTAGTAGCTACTCCAGCCAACTTACATTATAACTATTATTTTGGATTCATGGCAAGAGTAATGTTTTTAGTAAAATATCTGGAGATACTGGAAAAGGTCCATTTGAAATTTAAACACTTGCGTAACTGTTGTCTTTTTAATTAGATACCTACTTATATCGACTATGCAGACCATTGGCTTGCTGTGTTACTTGTTATGCTAAAGTTTTATGTGATTATAAAACACTGTAAACAATTTAAAAAATATTAGGTCGTTCGTTTTAGAGGTTTATTAAAGTATAATGTTTTTCACTTAACTCGAAGACCCTGTTATCTCGGAAACTGTTGAGTTCTCGACACATATTTATATAAAAAAGTCAACTTATTTTCACTTCATCTATCTGCTCTTGAAGATATCAAAATAAAAATTATTGCATCCAGAGTTCAGTAAAAGAAAAAATTTGCGTAAAAATGTATTCATCGACAAATCACGACCAATTTGATAGTAATTTACGTAACAATTTCTTGAAAACCAAGGAAAACCGCAATTACCTTAAAAAGTTGCTTTATCAATTCAGGAGAAATCCAATTGCGTAAACAATATCAATGGGTGTGTCTCATACTACTTCTGACGCGGCACAGTTTTCAGGAATACAACTGAGTATAATTATGTAATTTTATGTAAACATAAAAGTATTATTTATTTATTTAAGTTTAGTAAATACATAATGCATGATATTAATTCAGCTGAAAAATGAAAAAGTTTTTATTTATTAGAGGGTGAATTAATCAACATTATTTTTTTAAATCTTAATAGTATATCTGCTTTCAGACTATTTTTTAAAGTTGCATCTAGTCTCGAAGTTTGTTAATTTAAACCTGAATCACTCTGTGAACTGTGTGAACATAATTTCGCTTCACATACCAAAAAAAAAACGTTGTACCTACTGTTCTAATATGTTAAAAACCAACGAGTATAGTGAATTCGTGTAGAAGTTTTCTTCAAATATCGGTTATCTATTGCGAAACAGCATACCAAGTGTTGCAGAGATTCCATTTATTATAGCTATTTTTACCACTGGATACTTTCATGACGTAACAGAGGTATATATCCACTTGCCATCATTTTCATATCGCATCTTATCAACCTAAATGCGGGAGGATATGTAAAACTTTAAATACGTCAGAAGAATTTCCATTAGCCTAACGAAATTGTGGTGCAATATTAAAAATTGCTTATAAAAGTGTTGAGTACAGGTGCGATATGGTAGTCAAGTTTGTGCGTTTGTACGAATTAAAAAAAAAAAAGGTGAGAAGTTTAAATAATTTGTCTTCTTTTTAGGGTATTGTTGTCTTTTTTTGTTTTTTAATAAGATTTATTCTTGGGTGTGGTTTTTAATATAAAATGTCAAAACCTTGTTTTAAATAGACGTGTCATTCCTGATCAGGGGATTTATGAATTTTTTTATTAGGTATATCTAAAAAAATACAGGGTGGTCCCGAGGTAATGCGCCAAAATTCATGGGTAGATTCTCGAAGCAAAAATATTGCGATTTAGCCGAACTTAGCTTAGTAAATGTAAAATATTATTTTAGTTTATTTCCATTTATTTCTTAATAAATGCAAATAGCTACACAAAATTTTGGGGTTTGGGGTTCTTTGGGTAGAGTAATTGAAATTTGTTTTCATTTTGGCTATACTTCATAGAGGGCGCCAGCTGCCGTAGATTGAATATGTTGAAAGCGAAATAACTTTTTTGTACTTTAAAGTATCTAATCTTTGGTATCAAATTCTTATTTTCCAACTTTTTTATATAAAAAAGGTAAACTTTATGAAAGTAGCTGTCTCACACCATTTCCGAGATATTTGGCTTTGCAACTTCCAATGCTAATAGTTGAAATAATTAAAATAATTTAGAAATGTCTAAAACAAGGATTTATTTAGAATTAAAAAATGTAATGAACAGTAAAATAGTAAACATTAGTAAAAAATATGCCTTTTTGACAATAATTGCTTAATATATCCACCTCTAACTTCAATACATTTATCAATGCGCTTATTAAAAGAATGTCTTATTTTTAAGTATAAAACCTAAAACATTAATGCGAAATTACTTTGCAGCATTTAAAACCTGCTGCTAAAGTTCGTCTTAGGTGTTTATAGTTTCTCCATAAACAACTGATTTCATGTAACTCCAAAAACGAAAATCTCGGCATTCTATCTCACATTTATGTATACGAGTATACAATTTAAATTGTAAGCTAAGATGTAATTTTAATTAGGTACGAATAATACTTAATAGAAATGAGGATACAAATGACAAAAGGCAAGTATAAAACGTCAATTATTTGATTTTCGTCCAAATCCTACTTAAGAAACTTTACCGCTCAATTAATAATACCTGTAGGTACTTCATTGTAATTTAATGCAACAACAGTGGAAGTTTCAAAGTCAAATATCTCGAAAACGGTGCGAGATACTTTTATAAAGTATAGCTTTTTTGTGTAAAAAAAGTTGGAGAATAAGAATTTGATACCAAAGATGATTACCTCCAAGTACAAAAAAGTTATGTCGTTTTTAACACATTCAATCTACTGCAGCTAGCGCCCTCTATGAACTTTAACCAAAATGTGAACAGATTTCAATTCCTCTACCCAAATAACTCCAAACCCCAACATTTTGTGTTGTTTAGGAATAAATGAAAAAAAACTGAAATAATATTTTACATTTAACACCCTGTATCTCTTTAACTATCAACTTTTAGACTAAGGTAAGTTCGGCTAAATCGCAATATTTTGGTTTGGGGAATCTATCCATGAATTTTGGCCAATTCCCTTGGGACCACCCTGTATATAAAATAATTACTTAATGAAATTACAAATTATTAATAATGAAGACATGTTATTCAAAAATGAAGTGAAGTAAAATATAAATATTTATTGTTTTAATAGAATGGAATACAGAGGAGAAACATTTTTTAGTAATTTATAACAAATAAATACATACATACCTAAACAACCATGGACAATTGTTTTTAAACCAATTAAAGCACATTTTTAGAAAACATGACGTTGACCATTTAGCAATTATTTATAACTGCTTTTTCTTATTATAATTGTTATTTAAAGCAAAAAGAAATCTTCACCTATATAAATGGGAAATAAGTCTTCTGATGATGTCCAACTAACAGAAACGAAGACAATGAAATAAACTTTTTAAAATACCTGGGACATGTCGAAAAGTTGAATGCCATAGCCACCAACTTGTATTAATTGAATTAAACTAATTTCTGGTTCTAAAAGTGTTGCTAAATTCTCATCAAATAACGTTACATAGGATGTCCCAAGATTGATGGTAAAAAATGAAATGGTGGGTTGTACATGTCAAAATGTGACTTTTTTTGTTCTATGAACATGTGTCCTAAAAATGTCAAATTTTATTTCAATTTTCTACAGTGCTGCGTAAAAGTAGTTGACAATAAATTTAATAATCCTTTGGAAACATTGTTAATACATAAAAAACAGAAATATTAAAAAACGTGAATAAGCAGACATACTTTTGTTAAAAAATCAATGAAAATACATTTCATGGTGTTTCCTAAGCTTATATTTCAGATGGTAATTTTTCATATTACTTTATGAAAAAAGCCCATATTAACTGCCTCCTTCCGAAATACTGGGCGTTATTTTTTCTTCTTTTTTTCTATTGCTCAATAATGGAGTACTTCATTTTTCTCAAACTTTAAGCGATTAGACTAACAAATGATATTTGTCTCCAGAAGCTTTAAATGGAAAAATGTTAAGAGACATACCTGTATTATGTCAGGTAATAAGCGAAGATTGCAAATGGCGTTCAAATATTTCTTTAAATAATTACCTACACACACATTACTGGTTTTTGAAGATATATTAATAATGTTAATATAAAACTTTTTAATACCACCTCTTGGTATATTTTAGATTATCTATTAAACACCCTATATATAAACTGAAAATTTATTTTTACTTTATATGCTTTTCCTCTTTGCAACGTATGATTTCCTCGATATACTTTTCCTAGCTTTCCTCATTTTTGATAAGCATCTATTTTTTCATTTCAACTGTAAACTGCAACTTATCATAGGCTTTTCCACTTGATGTTATTACTTACATATTATTTTGAATATACATCGACTCTTTGTGGTTAAAGCTAAATTATTAATGTAGGTAACCACGTTTATTAAAAAAATAGTAATTTAATTTGACGCTTTTCAGGTTATAAATAAACGAAGATACCTCATCGTTCATTCACTAGTCAGCCATGAAACGATTAACAATAGTATTGGTAGCTCTGTTCAGCTACGGCATTGCCAAACCAGAGACTCTCCAATCGTGCGACAGCCCCGTATACTGCCAAGGAGACCTGCTGGACACAGTTCAAAGATTCCAAATATTCAGAGACTCTAAGACCTTCGTGGACATGAGCCAAGTCAACTCAGCGAACAAAACTCTTGATAATTTCGAGAAATTGATGAACAATACCAACAACAAGCCGACTAAAGAAGAAGTGGAAACATTCGTAGAAGAAAATTTTGTCAGCAAAGGAGAATTGGAGGATTGGACGCCTCCTGATTTCAAAAGCAACCCCGCCTTTTTGAAGTCTATAGACGACCTCGTCGTCAGGCACTTCGCGAAGATGTTGGTCAGTATATGGCTGGATCTAGGCAGGAAAGTAAAGAGTGAGGTTAACGAGGACCCTGACAAGTACTCCCTGATCCCTCTACCAAACGGTTTTATTGTACCTGGGGGCCGGTTTCAAGAGGTGTATTACTGGGATTCCTACTGGATCATCAAAGGGTTGCTGCTAAGCGAAATGACTGACACAGCTCGTGGTATGTTAGAGAATTTCCTTTCGCTCGTAGAAAGGTACGGATTTATTCCTAATGGTAGCAGAGTGTATTACTTAAACCGATCACAGCCACCTCTTCTAGCGCTAATGGTTGGTTTGTACATAGAAAATACTAACGACGTCCACTGGCTGAGGCAGTATATCGACGTGGTGGAAAAAGAGTTGAAGTGGTGGCTTAGCAATAGGGTAATCGACGTAGAAAAAGACGGTGTCAATTATACTTTGGCTCATTATGCGTCCGAAAGCGGTACTCCAAGACCCGAATCGTATTTCGAGGATATTAGTACTTGTTTGTCATTCGAAGATCAGGTTGATAAGGTATGTCGAATACTTTAATTTTTTGCTTTGTACATTGTACAAGGAGCAGGTTTAATTTAAAATAAACTGACTTTCTTAAATAAACGTGTGTACAAAACTCACCTGTTTTTCACATAACTTTTAACATTATTATACTTACGTCTGTTTTAAAAAAAATCTAAATCAGAAATTTTATCTTTTGTGAAATCTTCAGCGTTGATTGAAATCAAATATAGGGTATTCGAAAATTTCGTTTTTATATTTATATTTATTAAAAAATAAGAAAAAATTTCATTAGAACTTAGTTCCTAAGTGTTTTATGTCTGTTAAAAAAGTTTCCCAAATAACAGTCTATTTTTACATTTCTTGAACCGCTGTAGTACTTACCCTGGGAAAGCTTTTTAAGAAGTATGTTCATATAAACATTATTCTTATTTTTATACATAGATTCACTCCTGCAAACGAGAAAACGAAATTTTCAAATATAAGTACTGTATCCAATCAACTCTTCCAGTTTTATCTATTTTAATCGAAGTTCATGACAGATATCAATATTTTACATTGACAGAAAATCTCTAAAATTTAATTTTGTAGTGAAGAATACAAACACAGGCGCACGTATAAAAATGTTACGGGGATGTCAGGCACTGGATTCAAAAAAATAAGATAAATGCAAATTAAATGTTATTTATTAACTAATAGTAAGAATTTATAATACAAGTGTTAAAAGAGACATTTTATTTTGTGGGTGGGAAATCTTGCGGAACGAGAGTAGCGAGTCCACGAACAATATTTAGTAAAACTGTTAAAAAAAATGCCGTCTGTGGGTTTGAATTCCCGATCTATCGCTTACGTGTTGGACGCGTTGGCACTGTTGTGAGCCACCCGTTCGTATCAATAATAATTATATGTGCCAATAAAGTGTATACAGGGCTAAAAAATCCACGTGGTCCATCTGCCTTTACATGAGAGCGATAAAGTAAAGTAAAGAAATCCGTGCGATAAACAAGGATGGCTATAGTGAAGACGTTTCATAATCTGAATAGTCACCGCCCGTTTCGGGTTAGAGGTTTCAGATTATGAAACGTCTTCAATGTAACCATCCTTGTCTATCGCACGGATTTTTATGACTTGCTTTAGCGCTCTCACGTAACGACTTTCCGATCCTGTATATCATGTCAGGTACTGGATGTAGGGTAACTAAGTAAAACAGTTTCAAGTTGTTTAACGTTTATTAGTAACTACAATTGAAGCTGTTCATAAATATTGTAAATTCTGTTGCTAAAAAAATGGATGGACAATGGTCTAATTTCTCTATGATAAAAGCTAGTTTGCAAATCAAGAACAACGTAGATATAAGCAAGTATTACAGGCTAATAGCGTTTTTAAAAAATGTCATTTTTAATGACAGTTTTGCAAAAAATATATTATTTTTATTTATAAATAAACAATCAGTTATTACGGGGCTATATTTTTTATTCCACTGGAAATTAAAGTTTAAAGTTACAAAAAACAACAATTTTGAAATAATAATAACAGATAAAAAATATATCTCTATGCAAAATTGGATATGATGTCACTTTTTTGTTTTGAACTAATTCTTTTGCGTAAGATTTAGCCATCGTTGAAAACTTCCAACCACCATAACTCTTCAACTTTAAAACTCCTGCAACTATGACTGCAGATCACCATATAAACAAGACAAATTCGAGGATCACAAACGCATAATTTATGAACCTTGTTCTTTATGCCTGCACAGGCAACAGCAAATATTACTACGACGCAAAATTAGAAAATTCTATTAGTCTCTTTTATAAAGAAATAAGCCGTTAATGTAGAAAAATGTCTAAGATTGTATTTTTGTACCTGTATATCACAGCGTTTATTATGAAATACTTCGACTAAAAACTCAATTGTTTCATATGATTTGCTTTTCTACAAGATAAGTAAAGGACACTTTTCTTGTAACAGTATTCTTTTTTTAAAAAACACGCCAAGCATTCTGTCACGTATTAATGTTAAATTTGCAGAAATTATTACCTGTACAAAAAAATATGACCGTATAGAAAATTAAATTTTAAATTGAGTTTCTTGTTCTTCAAACTCGATCCAAAATGGCGAACATGGTTAAAAAAAATTGCAAATTTGCAAATAACGGTTTTTCTAAAATAACTAAAAAATATAACACCGATTGAAAAATTTTAAATGAGAAAGTTGTAGGTTCTAAAAAGATCTATCGATTAATTTTTTGTAAGTATCGATTGTTTTGTTACTTTTCGAGATATATCGAAAATACGTTAAAAATCTTCTTTTTTCTCTTCTTCTATAACTCGTTTACATCTACGTTCCCATACTTGCTATTTACTGCAAGCATAGCCCGCGGCAAGCCAAAAAAGTACATTTTTGAAAAATTTAACAATATTAATTATTTTTTGAGATATATCGATTTTTTGAAAAAAAGGCGCTCTCGAAAATTGGCTAGATCTTCTCAGCGGATAATCCTACAGTGACGATTTTCGGTTTATTTTCTTCGTAAAGAGTCATATTATCATGCTGTTTAAAAATGTTGACGATTTTATTAATTTTAAGGATCAAAAAATGACTTTGAAAAAGTTGCACTTTTTTTGGGTATGTTATTTTTTCAAATAACTATTTCAATTTTTATTTTATGAAAACTACTTTTAAAGAAAGAAACTGCTGACATTTTTTCACGAATTAAAAAAAAATGTTTTTCTACGACCTTCTGAAGCCGAGATAATTTTTTATTTAAAAAAAAAATGAGGACGCAATTAACATTTTACAGCGATGCTTGATGGAGATTAATATTGAATATTTATATTTTCAAAAAAAAAAATAGGATGTTTACTTGATTTTTAGTATTAGTAATTGATTAATAAACTGAAGCGTGCAAGTACGTCAGCTGGACCGAACGGAGGAGTAGGGGGAAGCGGCGCGCGCTCGCTCTGAAAACTGATGACATGCAGTCAAAATGGCTCGCGCTTGCAAAATCTTCGGCTTCTGGACCACATACAAAAATTCTTTTGTACTTAATCTGGGGTAGCTAAACACGAATATTATAGTCATTTTCGCCTTAGAAGCAAAATAGTCCCGTAAATATTTAGTTTTTATTTAACTTATATATATATATATATATATTTTACTTTTATTATACTTCTTCACGAAAATATGGACGACGAACAAGAAAATGAATCAAAAGACAATCCGACAAAGAAAAGAAGAATTTTATTCGATAAATAATTTTATCTATACAGGGTCGGAAAGTCCCCATGGTTCATCGGCCGTTACGTAAGAGCGATAAAGCAAGTCGTAGAAATCCGTGCGATAGAGAAAGATGGCTATAATGAAAGCATCTAATAGTCACCGCCCATTTCGCCATTCCACAAATAAGAAGTGGATCTTATTTGTAGAAGGGCGAAATGGGCGGTGATTATTAGACGCCTTCATTATAGCCATAATTCTCTATCGCACGGATTTCTATGACTTTCTTTATCGCTCTCACGTAACGGCCGATGAACCGTGGGAAATTTCCGACCCTGTATAGGATACTTGTTAGTTTTCATTGTAATAATTTTATAGATATTTTATACATAGTTGTATAATTATTAAATATTTTTGTAAATAAATTAAATTCTTTAAACTTATCAAAATTAATTAATTATTGAAATGACGAAGTAATTGTTAAAAAGCCAGCAACAAGTACAACGTCAGTATGATTAATGAAGCAAAAAAAATAAGCTATTACACTAAAAATACTGTAATATTATTAATTATTAAAGTGATGATAAATTCCAAAAAATATAAGTATTCAATATTAACCTCCATCAAGCGCATCGCTGTAAAATGTTAATTGCGTCCTCAATTTTTTTTTTATAAAAAATTATCTCGGCTCCAGAAGGTAGTATTTGCATAAAATAAAAATTGAAATAATTATTTGAAAAAAACATACCCAAAAAAAAAGTGCAACTTTTTCAGTCATTTTTTGATCCTTAAAATTAATAAAATAGTCAATATTTTTTAACAGCATGATAGTATGACTGTTTACGAAGAAAATAAACCAAAATCGTTACTGTAGGGCTTTCCGCTGAGAAGAACTAGCCAATTTTCGAGAGCACCTTTTTTTCAAAAAATCGATATATCTCGAAAAATAATTAATATTTTTAAATTTTTCAAAAATGTACTTTTTTGGCTTGCCGCGGGCTATGCTTGCAGTAAATAGTAAGTATGGGAACGTAGATGTAAATGAGTTATACAAGAGGAGGAGAATATTTTTAACGGTTTTTTTGATATATCTCGAAAAGTAACAAAGCAATCGATACTTGCAAAAAATTAATCGATAGATCTTCAATCGGTGCTATATTTTTTTAGTTATTTTAGAAAAACCGTTTTTTGCAACTTTACGATTTTTTTAAACCGTGTTCGCTATTTTGGATCGAGTTTAAAGAACAAAAAACTCGATTTAAAATTTAATTTTCTATACGGCCATATTTTTTTTGTCCAGGTAATAATTTCTGTAAGCATTTCTCAATAATGCTTGGACTAATAGTCCTTTATACGATTTGTAGGTGCGTATTTTTAATCTAGCCGTTCATGCAACAACGAATTAGTTTTTACGGTTATTGTGCCTAAAATAACTATAATTTCCGCACTTTTAATGCAATCGGCACATAAATCATTTTAACAATTAGGTACTTATTTTTTTTCTTTCCTTTTCAGGAAAACTGCTATAAGGACATCAAGAGCGGCGCCGAGAGTGGCTGGGACTTCTCAACAAGATGGTTCTTCGACGCCGAAAGCGGAACCAACACCAACCTCACCGGCATCCAAACAAGACGAGTCGTCCCCGTGGACCTCAACTCCTACCTCTGCAAAGCATTCAAAGTCATGGCCCAACTGTACACCCGAATCGGAAACGACAAAAAATCCTACGAGTGGCAAAAAAAATCCTCCTCCTGGCAAAAATCAATAGAACGAGTCCTGTACGATAAGGAAGACGGAATATGGCATGACTACGACACTGTCCTCTCCAAGCCCAGAAAACTGTTCTTCCCTAGCAACTTCGCCCCTCTCTACTGCGACTGCTATGACACTGCTTTCCGTAAGAAGTACGGATCTAGGGCGGCCAAGTACTTCGTGGATCAAGGAATCAACGAGTATCAAGGAGGCATACCAACATCTCTGAAGCAGGGCGGAGAGCAGTGGGACATGCCGAATGCCTGGCCCCCTCTACAGGAGATGGTCATCCTAGGTCTCAAAAATACCGGCGACTCGGAGGCGTTGAAGATCTCTGAGAACTTCGCGAAACGGTGGGTAGACGCTAATATCATAGGCTACATCAACAGCAAGAAGATGTATGAGAAATATGACACTATTAATTCGGGCAGATACGGCGAAGGTGGGGAATATAACGTCCAGGATGGATTTGGATGGACGAATGGCGTGGCACTGTCTATTATAGATATTTTCTATAGGAGGTGCTAAAAATAGATTTTAATTTGTCTGCCTAAGAAATTATACTTCGAATGGCTGCAAATATTCATAAAAAACTAGTATTTAGCTTAATTGTAAATTTAATTTATTAATATACAGGGTGGATCATCTTGTTCATAAATGTACTGGGATCTCGAAAACTGAAGGAAATTAAGTCTCTTCAAAAAGTTAAGGCTAGTGTGTAAACACTGTTTGTGTGCCAAAATGGTATAAAATGTTCTTGAACTACTTTTCCATCTCATAACAGTTTCCAAGATCTCCATATATCATTTCCAAAATGACTTACATGATGTATTTCAGCAAAATCACTGAATATTTTCTTGAGATACATGCACATAGTAACTACGGGTAGATATGGATCTAAACATCTATTATTTCAGCAGCTCATGGTACACAACAATTTTAAAAGTTTTAACTGAAATCTCAAGTAGATTTAGAATTATTTATTAAACTAAAGACCTTACAGGTTCACACGGTTGAATACAACGTTTTCTTACAGTCATATTTTCATAAATGTATCTATCAATAATAAGAAGGCAGATATAGCCAAACGTGTGTGCATAAAAGTAATATGTTAGACACTTGGTGTCTAGCGCATTAAAACTTAATCGCCATACTTGTGTATATGAATGACAAAAACTATTTTATTTTATATTTATTTTATTGATAAAATGTTAACGAAAACAAGCATTTAAATTGGATAATTGTCACAATCACTCATTAAGTACCTACTTCTTGCTTAATACAATTCTATAATTGCCAAGTACCAAAAAAACTTTTATTATCAAGTGGTGAGATATCTGCGTACATATTGTTAGATACAATGTTAGACACTAACTGAACTGAGATACTTGCTATTTTCCTCCTATAAATTATTACCTTATACACTCCATTAGATAGAGTAAAAAATTATGAAATATATCTATAGAAGCTTACTGGAAGAAATATAAATCCTTTTTGTTTTTAGAATTGTTAGTTGTTAAATATTCTAGTCAAGTAGATCGAAGAATACGCTTATAGATAGGCAAAACAAGTTATACCAATGTAAACGTAAAAAAATAAAGAGTATATTGTTAAGTAAATCTTTTATCTATAAATAAATATATATATTTATTTTCCACTATTTGCTTATTTACCTAATTAATAGATATATTTTGTGTGGACTACATCACCTATCCACGTAAGGTAAGGTAAGTCTCTGACTACCTGATATCAATAATTTCCTTACTATTGTTTACTTCCTATTATCTGTATTACACTTGTTTTAAAATTGATAAATAATTGAGGAATGCAATAATATACACGGTATTCTAAAGCGAATGAGCATAATTAAAGGTTAGCTTCTTTGAATGAAAATAAACCAATTTAGTATAGGTTACCTTTATAGGCACAATATTGCTTCCTTCAAAATTTTCCACCCTTCAAAAAAATAATTTATTTTCTTCGGCTTATTGCGTAGGATTTTTAAATTTTCATGCATATTGCATGTCTCTAAAATACATGATTTCAGAGAAAGCTTAGCAAATAATCTATTGTCCATTAACTGGTAACAGAGTTGATGATGACTTCTGGTATAACCGGAAGTGCGAGACTGTCTTCATTGAAAAGATCTTTTTGATAAACCCTGTATACTTTAGATTTCAATTTTGACTCCTTTTTGAGATAATCCTACTGGGCCCTCTTCGTGATACACTCTGTATGTAAACGTATATATTTTTTTTAAGGCCTATAAGTTCTTAAGAAAGTAAAGTAGTTATAATGAATATGCTTATTTCAGTTCAATATAGCTACCCTGAAATGTTGCCTATTCACTTCCAAGCAGCATCTGTATGACGTTCCCAAATTAAATCAACTATTATAGTTTATATCAGTTAAATTAATGCAATACGATATCTTAAATGCAGAGTATATCACTCCAATGGACCATAACTTCAACTGAGAAGTGCCTAGTTTTGGTTATTTGGGTTGTTGAGATTAGCCAATAAGGTCTTTATGTAGAGTTTATAATTAGGTTCGGTAATTTCATTTATAATAAAAATTTCAAACATGTCTATAATAATTTTAAAAAAATTACTATTATATTATTACTTTATTATTTTACTTTACTATTTATTACTACTACATTTTAAGAGTTAAAGCATCTCATTTGAATAAATATTTGAATTTAATTCCCAATAAAGTTGCATTTTTTTAATTTTCATTTTAACCAAAGATATTAAACATGTAAATATGTAAATAAGAGTTTATACGAAAATAAATTTGAATTTCACTGATTTTTCATTCCATATATTTTTTAATCAATTTAAAAATTTAGCAGCTGAAACTTAGTATACCGTGAATAAAAAACCTGTCTACTAATGCAATTAGTCCGTTAAATATAATTGATCCTTTTTTTAATTTAACCAAACTGCACATGTAACCAGCAACTGACATCATTTTTTGTTTGATATCGGCCGGTAACATATTTCCAAGGTTATTTTAATTGTCCATACAACCACTAGGAGACGCCACGTAAAATATTGTTGGCCAATATCTGTTAAATTCTCCTTTGTTATTAAGACTTTGTGGTTATGGCTCCTGGCTCCTGATATCTATTTTTTTATTCTAGATTCTAGCATGACTTGCAAAAATTTAATGAAAGGTTGGATAAATGCTGCACATACTTGGAATATTTAAACATTTGACGGGAATTAAAAAAAATTAAAATGCCGCAGGAAACCAAAAAGAATGGGAAACTTGTAAGTACTTACAGTTACCATATCTTAAAAAAGGCAAAGACCAAGTCTCACATTTCAATTTTTAAGGCTCCTTTATCCCCATCACCTTTGCATGACATCTCTGATGACGAATTGGTTAGTATTTCGGTGAGAGATTTAAATAGACAGCTGAAATTGCGGGGACTCTCCAGAGAAGAAATAGTACGAACAAAACAAAGGAGACGAACATTAAAGAATAGGGGATATGCTGCATCTTGTCGAATTAAAAGAATAGAACAAAAAGATGAGCTGGAAACTGAGAAATCACAAGAATGGAGAGACATGGAAATTATGCAGGAAGAACTTCATCAAATGAGAGACGAAATGACAGGAATTAAAAGTCGATATGAAGCGCTGAAGCGGTTTGCTACTGCTAATAAAATTCCCATTCCACGAGAATTAGAACACTTATAATATCTCCGATGCATTTTTTCTTTAGTATTATACTGTACTGTCACTTGTTTTAAAGAGAAAGCAGTAATTACATTTAATTATAAAAAGTTTTAGTAAATATGTTTCTGATGTCTAATTGCTCCAAGTATTTAGAGGAGATTTTCTAAGTCATGATAAATTGCAATTTCTTCTAAACCGTATTTGGATAATTTTAAAGAGTGAAGTGGGGAAAAGTAGATAATACTTTTTCAGCAGTGGCGACTCGTGAAAATTAAAGTACCTATACTCGGCGGCCGAAATTATAAAGAATGACTTGTACATAATATAAAAACACTATTACCATAATGCGTATAAAATATAAAATGATTTCTATATGGTTCAATATTATTTATCTTTGTGCCACTCGCCATGCACATCGGTACAATCTATAATCGTGTATGGACTGAGTTACACTGAACATCGATCTATATTTTATCTCTGTCTTTTGCACTTGGTAGGGAATAGGGAAATGCTTTTTTAGTGGGTGTAAAGCACAACTGGGACGTTTTAAAATGCTGTAATAATTAAAATTGATCAAAGTGCCGGTTATAGCAAACCGTAAAAAATATTAGATGTTATGTTTTATTATGTTTTTTTCAATATTTTCTATATCTTGTTGCCTTTTACACAGACACGCCAATGGATTTTTGTTCCCGGCACGCTTCATCCCCCTTACTAGTCCAAGAGCTAGCGATGAATCACTATCTATAATTTTGGCCGTCGAGTATAATCATATTTTGTTGAGCAAGGGACCTATACCACCTATACCGTTCTTAAGATGACAATTTCTATGTTCCCACAGAGAATATCACGAAAAAATTTCGAATGGAATTGGCAAAATAAAAAAATTGAAATAAGGGTTGCACTTGTATGTACAAAATATATTTTTTTCTTGATCGATACATACAAACTTTTTTTCATATTTCTCAAAATTAAATTAGGTTTGGTTATACTTAAATTTTAATTTGATACATTCTCTTCAAACTTCGTAATGCTGTAACTATAAATTATGAAAATTGTGGAAAAAATAAAAAACTACCGTTTTGTATCGGTTGATTACGGAAAAAATAATATTCAAGTAAATGTATTAGTTATGTAACCCTTTCTGAGATGTCATAATTTCATTTATTCTTCCAAAAATTTTTTATGAAAGTTCTATATGTAGATGTAGAAATAGTCTAAGTAATGGTATGGGCCCACATTTTATTATGACCACTGTTTTTCATTTATTAATAATTATAATTTTTCATAAGAAAAAACTCATCAGAAATTATTTTGGAGAGCATAAGATTGGGAACTATAGATGTATGTACAGGGTGGTCAGAAAATTGTGCACAATCTTTGACTTGCACAGATCTTGTGCAAATGATGTCACAATTTTCTATATAGCTCTCAAAGGTGAGCATTAAAAACTATTTATGTGACTGTCCACCACACAGTAATGGATATCACTGAAAAAAGGCGAAAGAATATGAGAGCAGTCTCTCATTTTTTCTTTTTGTTAAAAATCATTTTTTTGTCATACATTTTTGATTTCTAACTAAATGTGGATAAAGTATTAGAATGGCAGCGAGTGTAATGAAAATGTCGTATTTTGTAATGAAGCGTGGAAAATATCATTTTTTAGAGAATGATTTTTAGACCCACAAAGAAATTTCACAATGAAAAAATTAAAAAAAAAATTGCTCAGAAAAAATTTGAGGTTGTTTACCCTGAAATCTCGAAGATGGTTTTTCCTATACAACAGAGATAGGTACAGACGTTTTTAAATTTTCCTCAAAATTTTTAATTTCTCTAAACTTACATTGTCAATGTTGAAATATAAAATATTGAATGAGAATGTAAATAAGGAAAATTTAAATTTGTAAAAATAAAACTCCTATGATGATAAAACCATCCCTTAAACATTGCTGGATCCCATGCATCATCAAAATATGATCAATTTTATGAGCCATCACTGGAGCATTCAATTTAACTAAAAAAATTGATTTTCAATGCTCAAGAGCTAGTAAATCTATAAGGAGGAAAATTTTTTATAAATTCGTATTATTTTCACAAAATCAGGTCAACAATGATTGGCCCCCGTTTTCTGGATATAATATATATACTTTTAGCTTCTCTGTTTAAAGTATAAAGTATACATATTTATTTTCCTTGTTTACTTTTGGTAACAATTCAAATATTTTGTTTTTGTGTAGGAGTGACAAAATAAAACAAATATTTTGATTATGAATATAAATGAAATAAATAATTTTTTAATGAAGTGTGTTACCACCCCTTAAAACTCTTCCTTGGGAAAGGTGGGATTTGAATAATGCTATGGAAATTATTTTCCAGATGTCCAAGTTATTTATAAATAAGTTGGTTGAAAATGTAAATAAGATCCTCAAGGACACAATTTTCGAAAAAAATCTATATAAAAACGTACCCTTATACAATATTTTACTCCCAAAAATATCAGAAGACAATTTAGTCTTTACAAGGAATAATTTTCATTTAAAGAGGATTTTTGTGCTGAATTTCTGGTTGCCTATCTTATGAAATGGCAATAAAATATATGAACATTTCTGCCGATACGATAGCAATATTCGAATTAAATGTAACAAATATTTTATTACCACTAAAAATAATATGAGTAATATTTTAATCTATACCCATTATTAGTTATTATTTACACTAAGAGGACACATTTTACTGGACTACGTGAAAATATATTCTCTTTGTGTTGTATTATATATAAGGGGTGTAAAAGGGTAAAAACTCTAAAAGCAAAATAATCCAACTAAGAAAAAACTTAATTTTTGAGATACAGGGAGTTACAATTATTTGAAAAAAAAAAACACTATATTTTCCAAACGTGTTGACTACATAAATTCAAATTTGATAAGGAGACTACTCGATAAAACTTGGAGATAATAAATGTCATAATTTAGAGTCGGAGATAGAATAGAGGTGTCGTCAATCATCTTTTTTAGCAGTATCCCTATGCCACTCGAATTTCTACATTACAGTACTTGAACTTAACGAGCAGGGGAAACTAAAAGAAGTACTCATATCCTTTTTCAATAGAACGTATATTTATACAAATTGTCGGTAGTTCACATTTGAAATGTCCTCCTCCTTGCTTGAGATGAAAAAAGGGTTCCTATGAAATTGTTTCATACCGGGTGTTGAAAATTTGGTGAAAATGGTTTGGTAAACAGAATAGCAGAGATTAATATTTTTATTCCATGAAAAATACACATTATTAGAGGTGTTCAATCTGTCTTCCTTGCATGTTATACAGGCCTTACACTACTGGTCCACCGTGTCCGATACATTGTAAGTTTCATTTAGGTACTCTTGAACAAATAATGAGAAATGAAGAGTACCAATCACGTGTGAAACATAAACCACACTTAACATCCAATGATACGTCTTCAAATAATGGAGATAACACCATTAAAAAATATAAATACAACATATCCTTCACAGCACCAATCCAAACATCTAAACCAAAGCTTTGATGCATGCATGACGTCTGGTTTCTATAACACCATGTATGTTCTGTTCAGTACAAACATGGTTATTATGAAAATTGAAAATTTTGTCCCTCAGAAATCCTGTCTCACCCCTGAAAAGGTTGAATGCTGCCTAAAATTAAATGTCATCCGCGGGTTTGGAAGTTATAACAGATTTAGATCTTCTACAGTCAACAACATTTTTACCAAATTATCCACTGGTGATAAAGTCTGGTGGAATATTCGAGCAGATGGATAAATCTTAGCATACAGAGACAACGATCTAAATAGCACTAGTTATCCGCAGGATATTTCCTTAGTGTATGTCCTATTCATGGCGTATATCTCTTGGGGCGTACCATTTCGTATATACCGGGTATTTTATTTTGTAGCATACAGAGGATACACCATTATTAATTTAATAGCGTACTTATATACTTTTTGGAATATCCCTGGGATATAAGATCCGAATATCTTTGGATCGGTACCTACAATAGACCTTTTTAGTAGTGACGTCACATACGCCAAATAATAGAGGCAACCCCATCAGCATAGTACACATTGTCATGAAGAATTTCTCAATATTTTGACTAGATCGATTTTCAACCTTCGGTACTTTAGAGATAAGTGCCAAAAAAATGTCTTCTTTGCCATGATCTTAAATATCGCGATATTCTGGCAATATTAGAAATATTTAAGAAGTTTCAGACCAAAAGTGACAAACTTATTTATATATTTAAATTTATAGAACAATATTGACGTTTATGGTAATTAATAGATAAAAATTACATCAATGTTACTGAGCATGGGCATTAAAGATAATTTCATGTAAGCGAAGTAGCCTCGCAACAGGATATCATTCAATAAAAGTTTGGTTTTGGTTAAGAGCCCGTCTATAAATAAACCACTTGAAGAAAATAAACTCGATAAACTCACTGACACAGCATAGCACCAAGAAAAACAATAAAAATACTAAGATTAAACAAAAGATAATGATGACAGACTTATCACCAAGATGTCACCTGTGTATGAGGCTATTCTTTACGACAATGCGCATTTGGAATAATTTTATGAAACGCGCATTGGTTGTTCTTAACTACTATTGTAAATCCTTGTAGAAATACATTAATTTGAAGTTGTTTACTTTTATAATATCTATGTAAATAGTATACGAATTTCAGATTCGGTCTGAACAATTTCAACTATGACAATTTGTTGCAGGTTGCAAATATGTGACGTCACACTAAAAGAGTTTATTAAGTTATCAGGTAAATAAAAGCCGGTTTTATGTAATCTACAGTGCACGCGTCAGATGGTATAGGAGACAGAGCAATTTAATGAACACTCAATAGTTGCCGCATTGGTTTAAGCCATTGTGTATATTTTTATTTCTACTAGTTAAGCGTTGTTTCTCCTTTGCAGAAAAGTTTTAAAATTTTGTTTTGCCGTTTTCTTGAAGACTGTGTAATATCGACAAGAGAATACTGCTTTTTTAGAAAATGCTACATTTCTACAAAAATTTCAATAGCGCAGACAAAAAGATGACGATACCCTTAAATTTTTGTTCCCGAATTATCTTATACTTTTTACATTATTATCATGAAAAAAAAAAATATACATACGCCATCTCTACTGAGCCTCCTCTACTTCGTTCTCTCAGTGTAGGTACCTACAATGTATTTAATATTTATACGTAGGTCGTACAATTAAATTCCTACTTATAAAAAATTATCAGTTATCACATAACAGCAGAGATTCAAATATGCAAGCTCTTACTTTCGTGTTAGCCTGCATATTAAATTGCCAACTGGTTCTTTGCACGACTCAACAAACATGTGATAGCCTAATCTACTGTCAGGGAGATCTGCTAGACACGGTGCAGCGAGCTCGAATTTTTGATGATTCAAAAACCTTTGTCGACATGAGGCAAATCAATCCGTCTACCACAACCTTGAAGAACTTCAAAAAACTCAAACAAGAAACCAAAAATAATCCAACTAAAGAAAATATAAGAAAATTCGTGAATAATAATTTTGTCTTGGAAGGTGAGCTTGAACCATGGACTCCACCTGATTACAAAAACAAACCTGCTTTCTTGAAGTTAATCAAAGATGAAAAGGTGAAAAATTTTACCCAAAACCTCATAGGCATTTGGCCAACTTTAGGGAGAAAAGTGAGACAAGACGTTATTGACAATCCAGACAGACATTCCTTCATCTCCGTACCAAACGGATTCATAATCCCTGGAGGTCGTTACCGAGAAATATACTACTGGGATTCGTACTGGATAATCAAAGGCCTTCTCATATGCGAAATGAAAAGCACCGCTCGAGGAATGTTGGAAAATCTTCTGTCGCTAGTGAAGAGATACGGTTTCGTTGCGAATGGAAGCAGAGTGTACTACCTTAACCGATCTCAACCTCCTCTTTTGACTTTAATGGTTAGTTTATACATCGACGCCACGAACGATCTTAAATGGCTACGAACAAACGTACAGGTGCTCGATAGAGAATTGAGCTGGTGGTTGGCTAACAGAACCGTGTCTGTGGTAAAAAATGGTGTTAATTACACTTTGGCTCATTATGGATGTCGTAGCGGAACGCCCCGCCCAGAATCGTATTATGAAGATCTAGAAACTTGTAGGGTATTCCACCAACAGTCTAAACAGGTAATATAAGGTGATACAAAACTGTCCCACACAGAGAATTATTTTTAAAATGTTTTTAAAATGACAAAAATAATATTTTCAAAACATTTTGAAACATGTTTTAAACGTTTTAGAAATGTTCTTAAAGTAGGTACTCTTGAGACTATACATAACCAACAGTTTGAAAACGTTATCAGAAAGTCCAGATTGATTCAAATAAATATTTTCTAAACATTTCACAATGTTTAAATATACAGGGTGTTCCTAAATATCATGTTCAGGGTTAGTCACTATAATCTGACAACTTATTGTGAGTTTATTATTGAAATTACAAAAAAGTTTTTAATACAAAAGTTTTATGAATTTTTATAATACAGTGTTAGAAAAAACAATTGAATAACGGAAATCACTAAATTAAAGAAAAAAATTGTTTTAATGTACAATTAGTGCATACTTAGCTTAGTTAAATTTTTTTCTTCTCAAAAATATATAATATGTTACTGTTTGATTCAGAACTTTTCGACATATTTCAGTTGAAAACTATTTTTGAAAAAACAGGAGGGAAATTTATGTCTGACGGACGGCAGTGGCTACGGACGAGGCACGCGGACCAAACAAATGACTTTGACAGAAGTTTATTTATCATCATTAATTTACTTCCTATAATAAACTATTTTACTAGAAATAAATTAATGACGATAAATAAACGTCTATTAGTCATTTGTTTGTTCCGCGTGCCTCGTTCATAGCCACTGCGATCCGTCAGACATTTTCTCTTCTGTTTTATCAAAAATAGTTTTAAACTGAAATATGTCGAAAAGTCATAAATCAAACACTATCATATTATATATTTTTGAAAAGAGAAACATTTAACGAAGCTAAGTATGAACAAATATACAGGGTGTATCTAAATAACACCGAAAAAATTCAAGGGGCGATTCTCCGATGAAAATTAATAGGGGTCTTTGGTATAAAATTTTTTGAAAAAACCCTCCCCTGAAAAGTTACGCCCCTCCTAAAATTACAAAAAAAAATTGTTTTTCTTTTTTATCTTCCACGTACATCAAGCTAAAGAAACCAAACTTGGTGAACATTATCTGTCAATAAAACTACACTTTTTGAATTTTTTTCAACCCTGAACTATTTTTGTAAGGGGTTGAAATAATCAACCCCTATGACATTTTTTCTTATAATTTTTTTTTCGATAAAATTTTTTCCTTTTAAAAAATATGTCTAAAAAACCCCATTCATTTACTAACTTTTTGATCTCTTCAAGTTTCTTCGAAAAGTTAAGGATTTATGACAAAAAAAAATAAATGTATTGTAATGTATTTTTAAAAAGATGAGCTGTTTAACGCGAGTGTATTTTGCCGAAAGATCTAGTGGCCTGTTCTTTACAATGGAATCCGTAGAAACAAATGTCAATGTCATTTATTGTCATATTAAATAACATTTTATTAAAAAACACTCAACCAAATAGTTGACCTATGATTCTACTAGGCTAAGAAGTTTGGAACTTAGACTAAAAGTGAACAAATGATGAATAATGTTATAACAGTAACAAAAAATAAAAATCTGTCGGATATTGACAATACAATCTACAAAAAATGTTGAAAATGATTGCCTTCAGCTTCAATACAAGCATCTACTCTTGTTCTCATAGAATTGCGTATGCGTTCAAATATTCCTGGTGAATTTTTTATCGTTTCACACCCTGCTACAATGCGGTTTCGCAAATCATTGATATCTTCAACTGGCCTTGAGTAGATCAAAGATTTCAGATATCCCCATATGCAAAAATCCAAAGGATTAAGGTCAGGGGAGCGGGCTGGCCAATTTACATATCCTCCTCGACCTATCCATCGATTGGCATACACCTCATCCAAGTGACGTCTTGCACGTATACTAAAGTGGGCTGGTGCACCGTCGTGCATAAACCATAAACGTTGCCTAATTTGAATGGGAACTTCTTCAAGAATAATAGGTAATTCTTCGAGAAGATGACAATATGAGTCACCATCTAATCGTCGTGGAAGAAAATAGGGACCAATTAAATGATCGTCGATAATTCCGAGCCACACATTTAATGAAAATTGATACTGATGATTTCCTTCAAAAAAGTCATGAGGATTTTCCTCAGCCCAAATATGATTGTTACGAAAATTTCTAATACAGTCTCTTGAGAAATTCGCCTCGTCAGTAAATAAAATATTTCTTAAGAACTGCGGCGCTTGGCCGATCATATTAATAAGCCATTGACAAAAAACCACACGTGGTAAAAAATCTCGAATCAGTAACGACTGCACCCGTTGGAGATGATAGGGATATAACTGTTGTTCTTTTAAAATTCTAAAAACTACCGAATGGCTTACATTTAGGACACGAGCTATTTTCCTGGTACTAGTTTCTGGGGATTCCTCAATTAAATTAAGTACGGCTTCATCGACAGCTTCAGTTCTAACTTCTCGGCTACGGCCACAGTCATGACTTCTCTTTTCAAATTTTCCAAGTTCCCGCAAGCGTTGGTGAATATTTGTGAACGTAGTATGGTGGGGTAATCTACGCTCTGGGTACTGTTCAGCATAAAGTCTTTGCGCTTCCAATGCATTACCGTTAGCATACCCATATGTAAAATGCATATCTGCCATTTCTAAATTCGAATAGTTAACCATATTTTCGGTTTATTAACTAATATTTTCTACACAAAATCATGAAACTTGTGAAATAGTAAGAAACAGTAACAATAAATGACATTGACATTTGTTTCTACGGATTCCATTGTAAAGAACAGGCCACTAGATCTTTCGGCAAAATACACTCGCGTTAAACAGCTCATCTTTTTAAAAATACATTACAATACATTTATTTTTTTTTGTCATAAATCCTTAACTTTTCGAAGAAACTTGAAGAGATCAAAAAGTTAGTAAATGAATGGGGTTTTTTAGACATATTTTTTAAAAGGAAAAAATTTTATCGAAAAAAAAATTATAAGAAAAAATGTCATAGGGGTTGATTATTTCAACCCCTTACAAAAATAGTTCAGGGTTGAAAAAAATTCAAAAAGTGTAGTTTTATTGACAGATAATGTTCACCAAGTTTGGTTTCTTTAGCTTGATGTACGTGGAAGATAAAAAAGAAAAACAATTTTTTTTTGTAATTTTAGGAGGGGCGTAACTTTTCAGGGGAGGGTTTTTTCAAAAAATTTTATACCAAAGACCCCTATTAATTTTCATCGGAGAATCGCCCCTTGAATTTTTTCCGTGTTATTTAGATACACCCTGTATAGGGTGTTCCATTAATTTTTTTTTCTTTAATTTGGTGATTTCCATTATTCAATTTTTTTTTCTAATACTGTATTATAAAAATTCATAAAAAAGCTAAAACTTTTGTATTAAAAACTTTTTTGTAATTTCAATAATAAACTTACAATAAGTTGTCAGATTATAATGACTAATCCTGTACATACTGGAGGGGGCAATTCTTTGGCTTATTTCGTGACTAAAAATTCATATAAACATATGTTCGCAAACGCTTCGTTACCGATCTACAGGGTGTTAAAATTTTATATATATTTTTTTCTCTATAGCTTTTACAATTTTTAGAGATATTTAGCTCAAATTTGGAATATAGGTTACGCTGTAGGGCTTATATCTTTGGGCATGTCCCTGAACTTTCGTGCGGTGCGCCGCTGGTAGATTCTAAAATACAAATTAAATTTTCAGTTTTGTTGAGAAACTTATGTTTTTTTCGTATCTGCAACCGTTACTGTATTGTGTGGCAAATTTTAAGATCTCAACAACCTTATCCTTATCACATGCAACGTGTGCAGATTCTAGTACCTAGAGATTTTTTCGTCAAAGCAGATTTATGCATTTGGTTGCGTAATAGATTATTAAGAACCCCGGATTTTTTAAAACATGTGCTTTTCATAGATGAAGCTTCGTTCTCTCGAAATGCCATCATTAACTTTCACAATAACCATATCTGGGCTGAGGATAATGCCAATGCTATCATAGAAAATCATTTTCAAGTACAATTTTCTCTAAATATTTAGGTTGGAATTATCGGTGATCATCTTATTGGACCTTGCATTCTTTCACAAAGACTTACTGGCAAAAAAGTTTTTGGAACACGAGCTTCCTGAACATTTAGAAGAAGTTGATTTAGAAATTAGAAACAAGATGTGGTGGATGTACGATGGAGCACAGCCGCACTTTAGTTTGGTTGCACGTCAATTTCTGGACGCGAATTACCCTAACCGTTAGATAGGAAGAGCAGAACCGTAAGCCTGGCCTCCCAGTTCACTAGATTTGAATCCTTTGGATTATTTTCTATGGGGTCACTTGAAGTCACTAGATTACAAAATTCCAGTCCAAAATGAACAAGATCTAAGAAACAGGATATTTGAATCGTGTGCCATTATTAATCAGACACCAGGTATATTCGAAAGACTTCGTCAATCAATGTTAAGGCGAATTAATGCATGCGTTGCAGTAGGCGGCGGTCATTTTCAGCAATTATTATAAATGTTGTTAACTTATTTGTAGAAGTAGTTTAGTCTTTTAAATGATTGAAAATTGTCACATCGCAATAAAATCAATAAATGTCACATTTTTTCACTTGTTTTTTCAAAAATGATTCAACATACAAAATTCCAAAGCAAGTTTAACTTTAAACCCGTTTTTTACAAAACGGCTGCTTTCAGCCACAAATACTAAGAGTATATACCTTTTGTATGTAAAATTGAAAGAAGAATAGGTACGTTGTGGTTGTTTAAATCCAAGTACAACACTGTGTGGCGCCCTCTTAACATTAAACAAAAAAAACTAAGTAGGTAAATAATTGAGTTTCTCATCCCAGTTGCCCGAATTTCGTCAAATTGCCATGTTATTGAAAAAAAAAACATAATCAAAATACTATTTGGAACAGGGGGTCCAAATAGTATCAATAATCAAGCCGTTCCGGGTCCATGTTCATATGAACTTTTTTTAAAATTAATCGAAGATTCACCCTTAAAAGTTTGTACAAATACTTAATAAACACCCTATATATTACAATAAATTTTAAGGTCATCTGCATAAAGCAGCCTATGACAATCAAGACCATTCATGAGTCCGTCAATAAAAAGCAAAACAAGAGAGGTCCAAGATATGACCCTTGCGGAACTTCTGATACTGCTAAGAAAGGCCGAGACTCAAACCCACCATGTACGATGTAATAAGACCTACATATCTATTAAGTATGTTCTAAAAAATTATACTAATGAGGTGGAGAAATTTGACAAACAGTATGTTATGACTAAAGGTGTCAAAAACCTTGGAGAAATCTGTGTATACCACATCAATCTGTGTATTGTGCAAAACCATCTACAACATGTATTTTGGGTAGTATTAAATTCCGCTTCATTGTTTAAGTGGATTTTACCGGGTATTCTTGGATTACCCCGTTCATAATAATAATCTTTATTCCTACAGGAAATACCCAATTACAGGAATAAAAAACACTAATAATAATGTACCTACATACAAGTACTGTCCGATATAAAAATTACAATAACTGTAAATATGTAATGCAATATTAAATACATTCAAAGAAAGAAGAAAAAAGACACAAAATATGATTAAGGCTAATTTAACGAACAAGTTCCCACATACTATTCAGACTATCGTAAAATATATCACAATTTGCCGCGACCTTATTATATAAATCACAAATACAGGAGATAGGGCTTTTGACTAAGATGTTAGATTTGGGGGAAGAACAATAAAAGGTTTCATGTTGTCTTCTGTTAGCCCGAGGTACAATAAAATTAATTTTACACACAAGAGCTGGGCAATTTTACCATGCAGGAGATTATACAGAAAACGCATCAAAGAAATATCACGACGAATCTCCAACGAATCAAAATTGAATCTATTTAGTAGATCTGGATGACTGCATCCTCGAGGTGGATAAAAACCATCTTGATGAAAACAAAGAAATTTTAGAAACTGTCGTTGAACAGATTCCAATCTCTGACGATGAACTTCGTAGATAGTATACCATATAATGGAACCGTATTAAAGTTTAGACCTAACGAGGGTACAAATAGAGACTCGAGCGTTCGAATATTAGAAAAGTCCCTGCAATTCCTATACAGAAAACCGTAAGTTTTAAAGGCACTAGATACTATATTATTAATGTGTTCAGAAAAAGTAAACGTACTGTGAAAAGTTATTCCAAGATCTTTATAGCACTCCACTCGACTGATGGCATGATCACTAATAAAATAATCATGACTAATAAAATTAGTTTTACGTGTATAAGTCATGCTCTTACATTTTGAGATATTGAGATTGAGATGATTTAAGTTACACCACGTCGTCATGTAATTTATGCATTGCTGCAGGTGAAGCCAGTCAGAGAGGGAGTTAATATTAGAAAACAATTTAAAGTCATCAGCAAAAAGCAAACATTCACAAGAAACCATATCCGGAAGATCGTTAATAAAGAATAAAAATAATAGCGGCCCCAAGTTAGAAACCTGGGGCACACCTGACGTTGGAAAAAATGCATCGGAAGAAAAGTTTTGGTACCTAACCATAACTTGCTCTGTCTGACAAGTAAGATGAAAATAGTTTCAATAAAGTATTAGAAAAACCAAACCTTTCTAATTTTAATAGCAAAGCTTTTGATCAAATAGATCATTTGATCAAAAGCTTTTTGAAAATCATATATATATATA